CAGAGTACGTGGCTGCAACCTCATGTGTTTGTCATGCAATTTGGCTTCGAAACTTATTAAAGGAGATAAGTTTACCACAAGAAGAGGCGATTAAGATTTGTATTGATAACAAGTCTGCAATCGCGCTAGCAAAGAATCCTGTTTTCCACGATAGAAGCAAGCACATTGATATGCGTTATCACTACATCAGAGAATGCATCGAAAGAAGGGAGATACAAGTGCAGTACGTGAAGTCTCAAGACCAAGTTGCAGATATTTTTACCAAGCCACTGAAGAGTGAAGACTTTATTAAAATGAGAAGTTTGCTTGGAGTCACAAAATCAAGTTTAAGAGGGGGTGTTGAAATATAAACTTGTTTTAGTTGTTTAAATAAAGCTTAATTTCTATAAGCTTATTCTAGAACATGTGGTAGGTATGAAATTATTGTGTAGTAGGTGTGGTAGGTGTGGTAGGTGTTGAATTATTGTGTGGTAGGTGTGGAATTATTTGTAACCATTGGATTGTAATTGTGGTGACACAATCTTAGCCATTAATTTAGGAGGTGCCACTAGTATAAATAGGGGTGGAGTCTTTGAGTTTGTATCAAGTCAAGTAAGGGTGTTAAATAAGAGTGAAGCTTCTTCCATAAGTTGTGTTTTTAGCCTTTGTCATTTCCTAAAAGCTTTTCCATTCCAACATGGTGCTCACCATCGACAAACACCACAAAAGATTCAGTAGCATCCAAAAGAACATTTGATTTCAAGCTATAATGGTGAGTTATAAACCTCATTTACTCGCATCTTATGTGTAAAATTTACCAAGTAAAATTAGTTCCCTTCAGGTCTATAAACCCACTGGTCTTTGGAGATTATCCTGAGACCATGAGGAAAAATGCAGGCACATGACTCCCAACTCTCAGTGAATCTGAATCCCAACAAGTGAGGAATGCTTTTGACCTTATAGGCATCAATTATAACTTTGCAACATTTGTAGTTGATGACTCCGATGCTCCCAAGATCGGTCCACGAGATTTTAATCCTGACAGGCTAAATTCACAGGTCAGATTCACCCTTAAGGTTTTATTTATAAAATAATATTAATTCTTAATACAATTTGTAAATATATTTGAAAGAAGAAAACACTTGGCAGAAGCTGTAGTGCAGGTTCAAATGACGAACCACCAGTAGATCAGGTGAGGCTTTGTGAACCCAAAGTTTTGGCTTTGGTTATATCTCAAGTGAAGCTCTGCTAACATGTTCTGCTCAATAACAGTTTATTCCTCCAGGTTACATACCAAACAATCCTACAGGTATGCTAAAAGTGCTGAAATATCTCAAAGAATCGTATGGAAATCCCCCTCTCTATATTCAAGAAAATGGTATACCCATCCTAATCTAAAAAAAAAAAAAAACATCACAAATCTCAGCATGGCAAAACAAACTGTTGACAGTACTGAAATTATATAAAAAAAAAGTATATGCAGGGCATAATTGTGTGCTGAGAAGCCATAAAAACTTTGCGTTAAGTTGGATTTAGTAAACTCTTCATAACCAAATTTTATAAATAATGAGAGAGTTGAGTTAAAACCTGAAAAATTTTGTGGGGTGATAAATATTAAATATTTCTAGATCGTGATAAATTTTTTAACCATTTATTTTAAGATTTAGCACTTAGAAATTGAAACAAAACTTGTCATAGTAAAATTTTGAAGTCCCAAAATTCTGTTCAACAGCCATTAAACTAAATCTTGCTTAAATCTTCTATAAAATATTAATACTGAAAAAAATACAAATAAATAGGTTATGGCCGTGGAATCAAAGAGGAGCTCAATGACAAGGGGAGAATATCATTTCTGAGTGGTTACATTGGAGGCCTTCAGGTAAGCAGTACAGACTTCAGATCTGTTAACAGCAGAAAATATAAAATTAATCTTTCATAATGTTTCTGAAAAATAACAATCCTTTGGGTGATAATTCTTGCAGGGAAGGATCGGATGTGAGGGTGTACTTCGTTTGGTCATTTCTGGTTTTTTTCAAGCTATTATATGGGTACAGAAGCAGTTTCGGGCTCTCTATTTCGTAAACTTCAAGGATACAGAGCGTGAGAGATCCTAAGCTCTCTGCTTATTGTTATTCAAACTTCCTTAAAAATGGAAGGTGATCAAGACAGAGAAGACAAAGGAAGAGGAAAAATATCATTCAATGCAATAATGATGTCTCTTATGTGGAAGTGAAATGTTAAATAAATGTGTCATAAAATTATTGTAAGAGTAGAAGGTATGCAAGAAAATAATTTCTTCTCCACACTAGAAGCTATTAACCTGAAATATACAGTAATTTAGCACAAAAGTTTAGAAATAGATGGTAAATTGCAGTTAATTTTATGATTATAATTGAGAAAGAAGCAAAGGTACTATAATGTACTTAGCATCATCAGAAGAATCTTCACGGAATTTAAAAGAACTTAATATATATATATATTTATATATAATCGAAATATTTAACGCATACTTTTCAATAAGCTGATATATTTGGTCCTCACTGGGTACTTTTGGTTGCCTTTAAACCATTGTCAAGAAACTACTTGGTTGAAACTCTTTAACTTCTGCTTATTATTTTTATTGTAAACTCCACTGGAAAAGTTAGCCCGTAATGCAAGAGTAAATCACCTTAACCAAGCGATATGAATCTCTCTCTCTATATAGACAATCCTATGTACTAATAATCGATGAATTACCAAAACTTGGCTGAAATGAACGAGATCAAAATAGTGATGAATTAATAATCCAATAAAAGTAAAAAAAAAAATTGAATGAAAAAACCATGGATCTTTCATCCTAAACTTTCAATCTCAAAAATATTTATGCATCTTCCTGAACCCCAAACTGAACCACACAATACCGCCCACTGTTTATGGCAAAAGACCCTCAGACGATCCTTCTCCCTTCTATGAATCTCTCGCAACCACCTTCACCCTTTCCAATCATGCAAATCATACAATCTTTCTCACACGTCCGAAAACCTATACAAGTGATTTCTGAAGCCAACCTTGGGGTGTTGCATATCATCATCTTGCTCGTCTGCATTAGCCATGCTCCCTTCGACTGACCATTTCTCCCTCTCTCTTTGATCAAAAGCCTACAAAGCAAGCCCTCTCTCGTCGTCTTTCATCAACTGTAAGACAGCAGTAAGCCTAACTCTTTTTTTTTTTTTTTTTTTTTTTTCTTTTTTTTCTTTCCTTCATTTCTTCCTCTCCCCTCAACATCCAAATCAATATATTCACATGCTACTACTTCTTTTAATTTACTTTTTATTAGGGGCATTATTGTCAATATTTGTAAATGTTTATAAGTCGTCAATTATGACTTGATAATTTGTTACTTGATACCTATGATATTAAATCTCTTCCATTCTTTATAATGAAATAGCAAATTGTATGGATTATTTTGTCATGATTTTTGGCTACATAAATTCATGAATTAGTAAGATAGTTTTCTATGCATATTAAATTCCTTGAAAGTAATAGATATTACTTTTTGCAAATCATATTTCATCATAAAATTAGTAATATAGTATTAGTATTCCATGATGTGAAAGTCTCCATTTGTCTCACACTTGAAGAACGCAGTACTCGGTGAGTGCCTTTATTCGCTCAATAGTTTTCTGGGATACCGCCGACATGAGAAGTCAAGTTTTTCTTGCAAATCAAGATGGGACCAGGGCGCTAATTGACTTGAGCCAGGAATGGCATCTACCCAATCTCTCTTTCTCTCTCTCTCTCTCTCTGGCTCACTCGCTCGCTTGTGACGAGGAAACAAAGACTGTTTCTTTGAGTCATTCCCCAATATTCAGAGATCCTTAGTAGATATAGAGTGAGAAACACTTGTTTTAACAGTACATCAATCACCTTCTTTCATATCTTCCTCTAAAAAATAATATTTATGTGATTGTATGAACTTAAAAATAATAAAAGACTACCTCTTAAAAGTATTCAACAATTAGTCATATTAATTATGACGCACTTCTCAAATATTAGCTTTCAATGAGCAATGGTTGCATTGATATGTGTTGGTAAAGCATTTCTTATGATTAGCCAAGCCGATCAATTTAGAGTGAAATCATTTGGATTTTCTACAATATTGATGCTTTTATTCATAATTTTAGGGTGCTATAGTATAATTGAAAACACCAAAATATAACAAGCTAAGAGAAAAATGAAAGATTTACATACAACAATGGAATTATTGAGGCGACATGAAAGATTTGGGTAGTATAATTACAAAGAATGAAGTTAGGTTTTAGACATATAAATACATGAGAACTAGGCGGTATGCATGTAAATGCCCCTTTTAATTTTTTTTTAAATAAAAAATAAATAAAACTATTAATTCAAAATTAAGTGCCTTATATTTAAATTTGAAATAAATTTAGTAGAGAATATCAAAATCATTCTCAGGTTCTGTTACAAGGATGTATAGCCTATGAAAAAATTTGTCTTTTCTATGTCACGGACAATGCAGAGATCCTCAGGATGTATTTTAGTGAACTCACTTAAATTTTTTTTTTTTTTTAAAAAAATCGAAATACATCTACTGTCAGGATTACGTATGCAATAATTTTTCCAAGGATGGCGGGGCCCAGGCAGCATCCCCTCTCGAAACAGTCGCAATTGAAGTACCCGGGAGGAATCGCGGCTTGCAGAGAGCCAATACAAAAGAAGGATCGCGGTGTGCAGACGGCATTCCCTCGCGATACAGTCGCGATGGAAGTACCCAGGAGGAATCGGGGCTTGCAGAGATCCTAAGAGTCGATATAGAAGAAAGATCGTGACGTGCAGGCGGCATCACCTCACAAAACAGTCGCGATTGAAGTATCCGGAAGGAATTACGGCGTCCAAGAATCCTAAGAGTCGATACAGTCGCAATTGAAACCAGCTGAAGGGATCCCCGCGTACAGAGCTATCGTCGATCGATCCGACCTTAGGCCTTCTAGTGGAATCGCGACATTCAGGCTTTCGAGATCGAATCCTGCGATTCTAGCTGGCCGGGAAGCATCGACAGGTTTGTTTGGCTGGTGATAAATTTCAGCATTCCGTAGTTTTGGTAGGTGATCGAAAATTTTTTTAGGAAATAAAGGGAGCTGAGAAGATATATGATTTGGACAAGAAATTAGAAAAAGAGAGGAGTAATTTGGGATGGAATAAAGTTTCACTGTTATAGAGATAAGGTTCTCGTTTACAGACAACTGACAGGAGGAAAACATTCACCATCACTGACCCCCTCTAGGACTCCAATTAAGGGTGTGGCTTAGAGATTTTTTATGGAGGTGATTGGGCCAAAACATTAAAAATGGATTATGGCAGAGGTATAGAGGAGCATGAAGAAGAGTGGAGAGAAGCGGAGAGGGGATATATGGCTAGAGAGGGGATATAAGGCTATGGTCCAAGGAAGAAGTTTTACCTTCGATATATGGGGGGAAGCAACGAAGAAGAGAAAGTTGGGTTGGACATGTTAGAGTTAAAAATTTGAAGATGCATTTGAGGGGGAAGACGCACATGTATAGGTATATCGGGTGGAGCAATACTTCGCGGTGAATGGGTTAGATGGGGAGGAGAAACTCATGGCAGCAAGATTGTGTTTGGAGGGGAGAGCTGTAGCCTTATTTTAGTGGAGGAAGACTAGATACCCAATTCGTTCGTGGGATTAATTTAAGGATTGTTTGTTGGAACTTTTTCGAGCCATTCGAGAATAGGACTTATACGAGCAATTCTATGTCTAAACTCAGGAGGAGATGATAATAGAATATAGGGAGAGAATTGAACTATTGTCGGGACGACTGTGAGGGATTTCTGAAACAAGACTGGAAGGGAATTTCATGAAGAACTTAAAGACCCAACATACAGGCAATACTCTGACTACTAAGACCACAAAGATTGAGAGAAATGATGAAGCTAACCCAGATAATGGAAGGCAAGAACTAGAAGACGAATGCCAACAAGAGCAACGCAGATGGAGCATCGTACAGAATGATTGCAACCATGCCAGTTCAAAGAACGGAAGATCAGAGGGAGGTTGCATGGGATACTAATAACCTCAACTGGGAGCAACACTCAAGTGTCTTACAAAAAGATTCAAGAGAAACGAGCCAAGAGATTATGTTTTCGGTGTGATAAGAAGTTTAGTCCAGGACATCGTTGAAAGGATCGAAGATTACAAGTTCTCATAATGCAGAACGAGGAAGCAGAGAATGAAATAAATAATAGAGACCAGGGTAGGGGTGGGAGGGGGCATTGTTACGAGTGCGTATAGCCTAAGGACAAATTTGTCTTTTGTACGCCAAAGTGCAATTTAGTCTTTTATTATTATTATTATTGGGTATAAATATATCCGTTATGTCTAGGATTAAGATTATTCATAAGATTAAGTTATGGGTCTTAGGTCTAAGGTTCGTGATAGATATGACTACCTATCAAATTATAGGAGTTGGGAGAGATTCCCTACCTCTCGAACTGTAGGTGCTTAACCTTTGTATTTGTGTGAGTTATTTGATTTAATGAAGAAATATTAATTTGTCCTAATTTTTGTGAAAAAAATGTGTCAATTTCTACATCAAATCTTATCAGGTTCATGCCACTGACCCTCATGACTTCTTTGGAAATTGAGTTGCTTGTTATTTATTTATTATTCTTTTTCTTAATAACCTTCTAGCACATTTTTGGAAAAAAATATTATTTATGGTGGACTGAACGTCCAGAGGAGAGTTTGGTCACGACCATGCCATGGCGGCCCGATCCACCGTAATATTTCTTCCACATTTTCCGCTTCATAATTCCGCCTTCCGTCCTCCAGCTCATGAAAAAATATTACCTCAGGAGTACTGATGCATCAGTACTCCAATGAGGAGATGCCACGTGGCATTATGGTGGGACCATTGCATACGTGTCACCTCCTCATCGGAGTACTGATGCATCAGTACTCCTGAGATAATATTTTTTTCTAGCTCTTCAGGGACCGCTTTTAAATACTTAAGTTATAACTTTTTATATTGATAATGCAGAATCCAAAACATACGTATGATCATGAATAAGACTTAATTATACATGTGCAAACTTGTAATGTATTTTCTCAATACAACTATATAAATATATCTTAAAGCTTTTTATATAAATATTGATAATCATTATTTATTAAAAAAAAAAAAATTTCGTTGAATAAATTTAAAACTCCACATGAAATCAAGCTTGCTTGAACTCAACTTGCAATCAACCATTAAAATCAAAGGTATTAAGAAGCATATCCTTCGGTAAAATAGGTCTAAAAAGCACAAAGCAATAAATGAAATAAGATGCAACCTAGCCTAATCTACATCATGAGAACGACTAATTACCAATGAACATATTGCACCTCAGTGAAAGTTGCTCTGTCAAATTTCACTATTTCTTTTGGTGCTCCTGTACACATACATGGAACCCTATAAATAAATAAGAGCTTAGCACCAAACAAACCTGCTAGCTCAATCAAGCCGCGCCAGCCATTATCATATGAATCTCAAACACATTACACATATGGTGTCTATTTAATTTAGTGTAGCATACTGTAATCAAAATGCAAAGATTTAAAAATTTTATCTGTTTCTTCACCCGAAATTTGCTCAAATCAAGTGAATTCAAAAAATACAAAAGCTTTTTAAGTCAAAAAAATCACTTGTGCCATGGGTTGCACTCTGCCACCCACAACCAATTGTCACTCGACTAAGGATGTGTTTGGTGCAGCGGTGTAGTGGCGGTGCAGTGTCACACCATATATTATTGTGTTTGACAAAACTGCATTTAGTCTGCTTTTTTTAAAAAAATGTCGTGGTAAGCTGTGTTTTTCAACTAGATCAGGCTAAGTGCGATAGCTGCTAGAAAGCTATGGTCTGATTTTTTGAAGAAAAATATTGTAATAGCCACGGCATAATAACTTTTGCACCATCTTTTTCAAACAGTTGCAATTGTCTCAAATAGACCCCAAACCTCCAGCTCGCGACAGCCCTTAATCACAGCAATCCCTAATCATCCACTCGGCCGTGATCAACCCTCATCAAAAACCATCCCTCAATGCTAGATTGGAAACCCTGCTTGTCACCCTTGCCATCTGCATCATGCACGATCACCACAATTCACATCATACCCAAGGCTAAAGTCAAAAGGTAATTTCTCAACAAACCAAAAACCAAAAATAACCGAAGAATCTTCTATGTTTATTTTATAGCCAATCAAACAACCTAAAAAAAAAAAAAAATCTCTAACAACAGCGTATTCATTTTATACTGTATTTAACACTTAAATATTTTAAATACTTACAAATAAAATCCCGTTGACCGATAAGAGTGAAACCAAACTATTCAGTACTCGCATGGCTTCAAACATTAGTTTTCACAAAGCTTAGTGCAATCAGTTTCCAGATTAGTCGCAGGACAGGACAGTCTTAGCCCATCTCTCCACAAACAGGATTGGCAACACGACATATCAAATTGGTGATATAGATATAACTTCCTAAAATTCCAGATATAACACTCCAAGATCTGTATCGAAGAAAGATAAACTAATAAAATACTGACTGTATGAATCATTGCTTTGCATACAACACAATCCTGCAAGGTAGAGTGCTCAGGCATCAAATTCATAGAAATTTACAAACAGCTCTTAAAAATCTCAACAAGTTACATTACCATAAAATATCAACCTCTCATGAAGTAATATAATGCTTCCTCTGAACATCGTATCTCTGACACAGCTTCTTCAATGTTGCTACTGAATGCTGCATCAAATTCAACTTCGTATCCCTAAACATTGCCTGAAAAATACAATATTTTTAGGATATTAAGTTTAGAGGGATGAACGCTCAAGATTGCATATCCGAGTAACAGAAAATGGAAGAATTAAGAAAATGAAGGCTTACTTGGTAGTCATCTCCATATTTCATAATTAAATTGCCAACATGAACCCTTTGCATGGTTGTCAAAGGCTGCAGCTGTGCAGTTTTCCCGTCCCGCCGCTTCTTCCCTAGAGCAGTTTTCAAGTCTGTTGAACAAAGGTCAGTCATAATTCAGGAACTTGTTTATCAATCTATATAAACAAAAAACTTAAATAAGAAAGAAGGAAAGTAAATAGAATATACAATTCAGAAAAAAAATCATAAAATATGCACCACCAAAACATAAATCTTCAACAAAAAGAAAATAGAGAATGCATGCTGCTTTTCTGAAGGGGACTTGTCCAGGCATCACAATCCCTCTTTCACCAAATATAGTGATGGTAACG